ATCCATTGACGCAGGAATTTGGAGTGTTTCGCTGGTACTTTATACAGGACTCGTTAGTGATGGTAAATTTTTAAAGGTGCTTGTACACGTGCTAAATAGGGTTTTCAAATGCATTGCCTATTATCCTCACCAAATAAAACAAATTAACTGAAACTGAAAACTGAATAAACTGAAAAACTGAAAATGTATAGTACCCAGGCCCCACATCGGGCAGACGACGCCCAACAGTGTGCTTCTGGCTGGCTTGAAAAGAAACATTTGCAACTGCAGAGGATTTTATTTGGATACATCTAAGCTAAGACTACATCCTCTTGCATCCCGCAGGATAAGTTGCATTGGCCGGCGCCTAGTGCAGGAGCAGCATCATCGCCGCGTTGGTGAGCATGAGTGCAAAGGAGTGGGACATCCATGACACGGCAGAGTTGGAGTTACCAGTAAGGGGCTTAAAGGTGGCTTTTAGTATGTTGGTGTAATCCTTCATCGTAAGAATCCGCGCTGCCTCTTTCATTTCTGCCTTCACGTAGACGGGGTAGTACTCTACAAGGTAAAAGGAGTGATACGATGAATGATTAGCTGCGGTTTGCATGCAGTGAAATCGTATGCAATCAAGGAAAAAATACTTAAACACCAAACGTAATCATACCATTTGTAATTGTATAGCAGTTATCTTTGGTGGATGAACATGCCGGATTCTTGTTTAATGGCGTATCGTTAACGTTCAAAGCCTTCTTTATAAGCGTTACGGCCTAAATTTAAGGAAAACATTAATTATTCGCCGTAGTAACCGGTAATGTCCGATAGTTTGCTGCGAATAAAAAAATCCGAAGCCGCGTAAACTATTGTTCATTTTCAAGAGTTATACGGAAGAGAATATGGCTTGCTGACCTCTGGTATGCATGGAACAACAACACTGGATATTTCGAGTTTGTTATCGGTCCCTTTAGTTCCTTTGGGGGGTTCGGTCACTGGGCTTGCTGGTTTCCCTGCCTCCAACTCAGCAATTGTGAGGGTCGCCTTAGCCACGCCACCAACAGAAAACTCCACGCTTGCCCATTTAGTTTTGTCAGTGATAGCAATGTACACCATGGACTTCTCTAAAATGTAGACATTATTTACGGAGCATTTGGTGACATTGGTGATTTAAGAAAACATTTAGAATTAGCTGTTTCGTAAACACCGTTGTTAATGAACTTACCGCTTTTGGTGTGGCATTCTTTAGTTTCAGCAGTACATTCAGCGAGGTCTGCATTGGCATTGTCCAATTTTACAGACTGTGAAGTAAGCAGTGTAAGTCAAAAGTAGTTGGCTACCGTGGGTTTGAATCCAGGACTAATCGTAGTTTCAAAAGGTTTGTTTTTCGGCACACTGACTTGCATTAACTGGTGGCGTATTGTCGCCTAGGCGAAGACGTAGGGTATGTTAGCATTTCTAATGCAGCTTTTTCATATATTAGTAGACCTCTACAATGTTCTTGTAAGACGTCTCCTGAATGTGTTGATTCACGCACAATCTAATATGTACCATATTATTTTTTCTGTTGTAAACATGGTGTTTGGACATTTTAATTTCACTTCATTTTTAAGTTTAGGATATTGCAACCACCGCATAGCATATACCGCCAAATTGAAGGACTTAAATTGAATAATTATGGATGGAAATTAAAATGAGGGAAGACATTAAGGCCAAGGATGAGGCATGTCTTCCTACTGTGAACATAGTAAAGCAATATTTTGCGGCCCAGAAACAGACAGTTCTGTGTAAGATGGAAAGGTCTGCGCTAATCCTTTGGAAAGTATAATTCCGGTTAATTATAACGACAGCTAGAGCACCAACCCGTAGCAAACACCTCACCTTGAATGCAGTGTG